AGACGGATTCGCGCTAAATAAATTGTAATTACATCAATGCCGGAGCGCCCCGATAGATGCTAATTATCAATTCCATCTCCCTGCTGCATTTCATCAAAAATGAAGCATTGTTTCCGGAAGGCGCGGCTAAACCGAAATGATACTCCACACAAACGGGACATGAACGGATATAAACGCCCACTTGCGCCGAGCCGGATGCATTTCGTCGACCCATGCCAGTTGGCCAATATCCACGAATTTGTACATGCGTCTTTCTTCTACCCCGCGGATCGACTGATCGCTTCATTTGATGTATGACCCACATAGCGAGGGCGCTGCAATTTTAATTACAGCGTAAAATATTTCCGAACGTATTACAAATATTGCATAAAGTAACACGTATTAACATGACGTTTATTGCCTCGCAATAATCATGTCGATGACGAGAACGTTAAACACGCTTAAATGGCCCGTTTGAAAATTGTGCGATTCACCCCCTCCGTGTCGCAAATGTCTCTGATCATCTAATTGCTAATGCGAAATATAAACGGGCTATCAAGAACTAGCTCCGACGTGCTCGCTCTTTACGACTGTTTGCTATTGTTGCGATACGGTTTTACCGCGTGAACGAAAATCGATAAGCGAAATTCCTTCCAGTGCACTTCGCCCTCAACATCGCGATATTGTATCGACACATAAAGCGAGCTATTATAATGCGAATTCCCAAGGCGAGCGCGTTTTCCGAGAAAATGTTTCCGCGCGAGCATAACTCACGTGGAGAAACATGAGCCGCGAATTGAAACAAACGACACGTCATAGAAAGAATCGTTCGATCAGCCGTGCCGCGAGCGATCGGCTCATCAATCTTCTTCCCATTTCCAATATTGCCGAATTAATTTCACGCAGCACATATGAGCCGCTCCAGTTTATTATGCCACAAAAACGTTCCATTTCATTCGGTTTGAGCACTTCGGCTTCAGAACATTAGAATGTATTTCATTGCTTCATGATTTGCATTTTTCTCTTCCTCGCGTTTCCTTCAATTATTTATGACATTGTGATTCAATTTGTTGATTCTCTCGCTCTCCCTCAAAAAGATATTCGTACTACATTTTTCACACTTGATATGTACAGAATTCTTTCTGCTAAATTCTATGATGAAACATTAGCTGAATTAATGTCTCTCGCTTTCTCGCTCCGTTAGTTATATAAAAATTAATATAAATTAAATTCTGCTGACGAAACTTGTGTGTACTGAAGCTCATCCGCAGCACCAAGTAAGAAGTGATATTAAACTCTTGAATATCGCCGACGCGCATTTATAAGCATTACCTAATTAATTAATTAGAACTAATGTCGACTGAACCCGGTATTTCAGTGCGGTTTACCAGTATAAGCTCCAGTTTAAATGGGGTATAGCTGCGCCTTATCGCCCGCATGCTCGCATAATCTAATTAAATTGCAGTTGAGAGAGAGAGAGAGAGGCACTGATGGTCCGCGCACGGATTATCAGTGCACCTTCTTTGGAATGCGCTGCTTTGTGACGAGAAATAAATTCGAGCGCGCCTCAGGCGATTTGTATTCGATGCGAATGAAATGTTTCCGGCGCCGTTACGCAACGTCGCTGGTCGAAAAATGGCGTGCAATATCAACCCCGTGCACACGAAGCCAAATGAAATTGCTAGGTTCGCCTTCGGCGAAGAATGCTGCCGAAGATACTGCCACACCGGCATGGAATGCTCGCGAGTATTGCTTCCTTCCGCAAAGTATTTCAACGACATGCGCTCCGGCAGGATGCACTCGCGTGCAGCATCCAAGCGAGGCACGCAAAAGTTGGAACTACGTGCGTGTCTCTCGTGATCTGCACGACACCGGAGAACAGAGAACAAAGTCAGAGAGAGGGAAGAGGAGAGGGAAGTACTATTTATTACATCCTGAAGTAAAATCTCTTTAAGCATGCAGGGACGTTCGCGATTTTCCTTTATAAAAGCGTGTCGCGGGTCGTAATGGCGATGTGTAACGTTACGTGGAAAATAGTAGCGAGCCAAACTGGGACGAGATCAAAGACGAAAGTGGAAAGCAAAAACGTGGGAACAGAAATAATGCAATTCGCGAAACAATTTACGGAGCAAAATCCGCCGGCACATGTAGATAAAGTAACGATAAATTTGCGTACGAATGTATTGCGGTTTTTTTAAATTCTTTTGCAGAGATATGTATGAAGTTTGCATTTGAACGACCAGAATAAATCAAATTTTTTTAATTGAGGAAAAGAGAAACAGAGAACGTGGTGTATCAGCGGCGCGCTGGGGATTCAAGTGTGCGTCGTGACATACGGGCGCATTTATTGCCCGAACGCAACAACGTTATTACTTGGAAAAGTGGGCCAATGTTGCCCGGATTAAAATCGAACTGATTAAAGTCGAACTTTCAGAAATTGAGTTTCACGATCGGCGGAAGCTCTTGCACTTTAATAAAGGCTCTCCGCGAGTATATTATTTTCTTCATCATAACGCTGACGTATTATGTCGTCGTAAGGTGCGTATACTTTGTAAACTAGTGGAACGAAAGCTTAGTTACTGCTTTACAGTTTACAGGCCAGTTTCTATATTATCTCTTGACCCCGGCGCTTCGGTTGCAACAACGGCGCCGTAAGCCACAAAGGCTAATAAACTAAATTCATTCTATGAGGATAAATTGAGACGTTGGCTAGAAGGAAGAATGCACGAGCAGAGGCTTAGCTTTGAGAAAAATGTTTTGAGAAAAGTTCAAAGTTTCTAATTTATCCCTTTTATGCAAACTGAGAAGGCTAACTTATATACTCCATTAGCGGATAATGCTTGTAATTAGTTCTAAGATTTAAACAAGAAGAAATTCCAGAAAAATAATGATAGATAACTTGGAAATCTTGAGCCCCATATAATTACTGCGTCAACCTCCAGCCAGTGTTTTTAGGAAAAGAATTAATGGGAGTTGAGAAATTGCATTGTACTCATCCTGTGTATATGTGTGTATGCATAACGGCTTAATTATATTAAGATGGCAATTTGCTGGAAAGGGGGAAGGAAGTAATTAAATTGATTCGGTTTGAAGAATAGCAATTTGTACCATAAGTGCATCATCATGTTAAGATACATGTTGTATAGGAATGATGGCGTTATTCTTGTGCGTCGTGTAAGACATAACTCTTATATGTCTACGCATTAGAGATTTCACATTAAGAGAAAATTTGCCAAGTTTATAACACATGCCATTATTGTGACAAAACGACACCTCTAACTAGCTATTATTCATAGATCCTAAATATGTTCTGAATGCGCGGTAAATTTACTTAAATGTAACTGCATTTCCGCGAATACTATTGTATTGTTAAACGTGCTTAACTTTGCACATTGAAAAATTAATCTGCGATAAATATTCTTTAATATTACTGCATTTCTGAATAAACAACGGATGAAATAAACACCAAGGAAAATAATATCACCGTATTAAATTAAAGGGATTATTCAGCATAATAATTAGTTAATAAAGGAATATACGCAGTCATAAATATCAAAGAGTAATTAGACTCATGCTCATCCATATGCATGATTTCTACGTCGTCATATTGTGCAACTTTGTATTATCCATCGTTCCTGTTAGACCGCAGAAAAGTTGAAACGTTTTACATCGAAATGGACTACCGGTGCATAACTTTGACGCGTCGCATATCTGATTGAAAATTTCAAAGTTACGAAATTAGCGCTACGAGTTTGTTCATTAACCGTCACAATTTGCGGCGCAGTTGGCAAAGTTGCCAATGTCCATCGAAAATGCCCGCCTCGTATACCCATTGGTCCCTACTGTCATCATACGTTCGGCACTAAGAACACAGAGTATTATGTTGGAAAATAATCTCATCTCGTCCCAATTCAATTTCAATCTCTGCATGAAAGCTCTAATCAATTATAGATTAATATTCGTAATCGATTCAATCTGATTTGCATTTCGGCAATCTCAATTCCACGAATTATTGTTTCAAGAATTGAAATTATTTATATATGTATAATACACATGGGTTTTAAATTCCTATTTATCGCATTTGGCATAAGGACCGTAGATTTTTTGTTAAGTAACGACTAGATGAAATATCAGAGTAACTTTCGGACCATCGGCAGTTTCTACAATCGACTGCTTCTCTTTAAAAGCACAAAGCGCGGAAAAGTTTATTCTGCACTTCCACCTAATCTTCCCGAGAGAAATCGCCCAGTTTCTTCCATCGTGCTATAAATCTCCCGCTACCTCCCCCGCGAAATAGTGAAAAATTACCCTCATTCTTATTCACGAGCACCACTTTGCAGACTAATGATCCCGTAACCGGCTAGGCAGATCAAAAATTATGAAATAAACTTGTGTACCGATGAGCGTAATAAAATGTAAACTCTTATGACTGTTTGCAATCAGTGTATTCGAAACTTGTGTTATCTATCTATCTCGCTTGCTTACGAGGCTAGCTGAATATACATACCTGTATATGTAAATATTCTTTTATTAATTCAATAATTCGACTTAAAATTACAAGCTTCGCAAAAAATATATATAAAAAATATAAGAAAATTTTCTGCAGTTAAATTACTATACAAATTTTTTCAAAAGAGATGCAATATGTAAAAATAATTTTTCCATAAAGAAGACAAAATGCAGAAAAAAAACTTAAGATTGTCTCTGGCTTTAGAGAGTTACAGTGAGAGCAAAAGTTGGATCAGATTTTGAAAGTTATTTTAACCGAGATTGCAACCGAATCCCTGCAATCTGCATTTGCTCAAGATGTCTGAAATTGAGAATATAATATGACTATCACGCGTGAGCTAAAATTAACAAAATTAAGTGAGAAGAGAGAGAGATCCTAAATCGCATTAAAATCTAAGCTTCCACAAGTTAAATTTCACCTTTTACACGACAATATCCGCTACATGATATTAACTGTTTTAATTGACTTACTGTCTTTCTTTCTCTAATGTATCAATTTCTTAATGTTTCAGATTCTATTGGGACCTCTGCATGCTCCTCCTACTGGTAGCTAATCTGATAATTCTGCCAGTCGCCATTAGTTTTTTCAATGACGACCTAAGCACTAGGTGGATAGCCTTCAACTGCCTTTCCGACACAATATTCCTTGTAGACATCGTCGTCAACTTCAGGACGGGTGAGTGTGATTCGATCGATCAAATTGCTTGCTATTAGTTCGCCATTATGATAAATTCCCGCCGCTTAATTGAAATCCGTGATAAAAAGCCTTAAATTCGCAAACACACGTCGTTGAGAAATTCCAGCTCTAATCTCTCATATACCAATAGGATTTGTGTGCAAGAACAGCTGCGTTGTCGCAACAACGGCTCCGTGTCTCTAACGATATTAGTAACGTCTTTTGAAACTTTCATGTAATACCATTAGGTGTTGCTTACATCATACTGGCCTAGTTTACATCGTACACTTGATACGCGTATCAAATAGTGTATTTGAACTGATCAGCCAATGACCAAACGAATTTACTAGTTATTTACTATTTGTTACTATTTGATACGCGTATCAAGTGCACGATGTAAACTAGGTCACTGTCTCCGCGAACATGCAAAATTCTACTTGACATTGTGTTTCGTATCATTCCCTCGCAATAATCGGCGTAAATTTGAATACAGTCTGCCGACAGTCGAGATGTTTATGCACATTAGAATATTTTACGAAAACTCTTTCTGTTACACTACACGTGATAATATTTCAGTTTCCAATTTTTTGAAAAATATTTAAACAATTATACAGCTCAGATAAAGAATATTCAAAGAAAACTATTGATCATTTTCTCGACTTTTAACAACTCGATACCTTGAATCGTATGACTGCGCGTTTGGTAAAGCAAATTTTGAAGATCGCAAAATTACCACGCCGATGACTGTAAGTAATTTTTTCTCAAGGACAAGACCAGTAGAATATTCCTTAAGAGTTTGCTCAATTCTGTGTAAAGATTTCAAAGGTGGTTCACGACTTCCGATTCTTTTTTTCGCGCGACTCATCCTTGCTACGTCTCCTTAGTATAAGATACCGGCGAAAACAGACGCAGTAATGGATCAACTACTTGCGCTCTTGCTGGCCCCGACAATGCACAATGACAGTATTGTTACGCGGAAGAGAACACTCCTAACTCCTTGACATTTCGTTATTACCCGGGGATTAATTTGAAATGTGTTTGAGTCGGTCCCGTAAACGTGGAATTGGGTCACGAGCCGTGACCGATGGAAATCATTATATTATATTGCATATCGCTTTGCGTCGATTCGCGATGATTAAAAATTTCTGCGCCGCATTATCTCGCTTTCCGCTCGAATGTCAGCACGGGGACGGCGATAATGACTTCTTTTCCTTTTATTTGCCGCTAACGAATTCGGCGATTGTTTTTCCCCCCCGTCTCCAATTTCAATTGTTAAATTACGCATTATATACACATAATGGGTGCACCAGATGCACGAGAACGGCGACGTGACAAACTGTCGAATCGATGGCAAGTCGCCAGAGCGTGAGGTAATAGCATTAGCGTTTTTCCGGCGGCTTGAGCTTCGCAAGCTTTGGCAAAATCATTGACGTGGAAAACACCGAAGTGAAATTCTTTCGTTGCAGGTATAATGCAGCAGGATAATGCCGAACAGGTGATACTGGATCCGAAGTTAATCGCGAAACACTACCTCAGGACTTGGTTCTTTCTCGACCTCATCTCCTCTATACCACTAGACTACATTTTCCTCATATTTAATCAAGTAAGTATATCCTACATCGTACACAGCCTTACGCACGTTCTTGTTAAGCTGCAAGTTATTATCTCGCTAACTCCGTGAAAAATTATAAAACAACTTTCTAGTTTCTTAACGAGATTCACTTAACGAATTAAACGATGTATTTTCACATGCGCGCATTTTTCATGATGTAAAATTATCGCAAACTTTTATTTCTTCCTTATAATATATATTGTTATGCAAATATAAAATTGATAAGTCGTCAACGATTTTCCGAATAATTCAACAATTCTAGATACTTGCACACTTACCGACCGAGGGGGAGTAAGTCAAATTACAGTAACAAGGAAAATCTCAAGTTTCAGGTCTACAGCGAGTCCTTGTGTAGATGTAAAATTAATAAATTACGACACGCGATTTTCCGTCTGATAAACGAATCTGGACACTCGTACACTAATCGGTAGGAACTAAGTGAAATATTACAGTAACGAAAGAAATTCACAAGTTTCAGGACTTCAGCGAGTCCTTCCAGATCCTGCATGCTGGACGTGCTCTCAGGATTCTCAGGCTTGCAAAACTGTTGTCACTCGTTAGGTTACTACGTTTGTCAAGACTGGTGCGGTATGTCTCGCAATGGGAAGAGGTCTATGTGAGTGTTCCGCTACTTACTATATAGCGCTGTTCTCATTTTGTAATCATATGATACGTGTAGTTCGTGTATACTTTACGTTTATATATCTATATCTATATATATATAAAAAGGAGAAGCGTTTGTGACCTTTAGCGGATTCAGGAAGCTGACGAACGATCTTCCTGCTACGAAGCTACTGCTTTTCCTGTAGACAATGAGGCTTAATGAGAGCTAATTAATGTCGATTGTCAGTTTTTTGAATCTGCCAATTGCAGAAGTCGCCTACCGCATTTTACGCGGGATATTAAATAATCATGTCTACGCCTGATATATGGTCGCTGTAGAGAATCGGAGGAGGTAAAGGGAAACGAGTCAGCCCACTTTCGTACCCTTACCGTGGATATTTCGTACTTAACCGCAGGTGACTCGCCGAGTTACCAGCCAAGTTCTCACGTCAGTGGTGGATTCTGTCCGGCAGGCAATCTATTTCACCAAGTTTTCTCGAATTTGCACTCATTAACAAGAGAATCGTTCTCGCTACGTGCAAGGAGTCTCTCTCCTCTTTGTCATGAGAATTTCATCAACAAAGTTCAGCCGATCGAACGTGCACGTACAAATCCTCCCTAGGTGTATGCAGCTAAAAGTAGGATACGCTTCTTGACAAAATTACTTTTTCATCGTTGTCGCAAAAGTCTCGGTCCACCACTGCGGGGGAATCTTCTCGAATTGGGCTCTCAGATGATTAGATTATGTTTCGCTCTCCGTTGCCGAACATCTAATAAGTGTCCCCACGGCTCTACTCAATATATCCCGTGACACTCCGAAACTTCCACTCTGCAAGAAAGTCTCCAAATCCCACCGTCTGTCTTTCTCTCTCGCGACAATGATAATAGTGAATTAGAATCAGCTGTTCTCCCTTGCTCGATCACCTTGCCGCACCGAGAGGAGCATAAACAGATAATGGTCATAATAGGTAATACCTCTGGCAAACAATTCGCGGACACAAGCGGAGAGATAGCGTGACGAAAAAGCAAATAGAGGAAAAAGAATACACGCGCACGCGATTACGTGTCCCGCAGAATCATCGCTAATACACCGAGAAACTCGATACAAAGAGAATTTCGTGACACAATACGATAACATTTTATTATATTTTCCATTGTCGTTTTCCGATGCACCGATAATTGTTGTTGTTCGCTATTCGTATCTTATTCGTTACTTTTTTTGCTCTCGTTTTAACGCACATGTCAATTTTGTGCACGTGATGTAATGGTACGACGATTCGTCGACGGGTAAGTAACTGCCCTTCCAAGCAAGTGTACATACCACTCGATAATCGAAGCGACGCGTGAACGTATTGCCCGCCCTTTCGTTCGATCGAAGAGTCATTTCGAAAGATAAAAGAAAGAACGGAATGAAAAGAGGATTTAAAAAAAGGGGGGGGGGAGATAATGAAGATTGAACTGGTTTCTATAAATAGCTCCCACAAATTCGCATCTCTGTTTCACTGTACTCGGAATAAATCTCGCTATTTCTTCACACGAACGCACAACAATTGAAACAAAATATCGCAACGTGGCTGTTGCGTTATACAATAGAACAATATTGTGAAACATTCATACCGTTATGTTAATAAGAAAACGATAATAGTCATAATTTCGTGTACATGTGTATACACAAATCTCGCCAGGTTAATTATACGACGAATGAACTGCAAGTGCATTAATTGTTTGCGCGGGTTAATTGGGTTGAAAAATTTTTGCTACCTTTCGGTGCTTCCGTACGTCGGCGACTGTGTTTACGTGGGATAACGTTTTTGTGTTACCGTTACTTGTGCTCGCGCGCTGTTAGCGTAAAATCGTGGCGCAGCGAGGAGACCAACGAATCAATCAGGCTTTTCGCCCAATCGAGAGAGCAGTCTGTCATTCGCTGATAATCTTGTTACGCTTGCCTTGAAACGTTACTATTGCCTCCCTCTGCTTTTTCCTCTCTGTTCTGTTCTGTTGTGCAAACTATAGATATAGCTGAGAGAAAAAAAAGGGGGGGAAAATGTATGCACGAGGGAAAGCTTCTAAGTAGATTCGTCAATGCGCGCGAGTATCGATATTGTTCGGACAAATTGACTACCGTTCTGTCAGATAACAGCAAAGAAATGCGCGAGACGGATACACCGATGCAAATGATAGTGAGAATCGCTATTTCGCGTTCTCTTTCTTTGTCGAATTGACGATAAGTCGTTTTCGTTGAATTGGGGGATAAAATATTTTCTCAATTAACGCGAAATTAAATAAATTCCTGTACCGTCTTCGGGGGACCGAGCTTCGGTGAAAATATCGACGGGCTTTGAAAGGGTCTGCCAACGACAACGAGAGTAATAATGTAATAATTTTGTGACGCCACTATTCATAGAACGCTAATAGAAGGATAATTGAAAGTGGAGATCCATTTAAGATGAAACTTAACCAAATATTTTTCATTCATCTTCTCCTCTTCGTTGTTATTGCTGTCGTTGTCACACTTATTTGCGAAATGCGAAGAATAAACTTTCAACGTGTACGTATTACATACCGCGTCAAGAAAATTCCAGCACGCTGGTAGTTAATTTATAAATCATTTCGCATGATCCAATTCAAGCTGAATTATCATCAGTCAGAATGGGCAGACCAGAAAATATGCGGACTGCTATAATATTGTTGTAGTGAAATTGTTTTCATTCAAATTAATGGCTAATCCGTCGTTCTTTTATATACTTTGGCGTATAGAAAAGTGCAGGCTTGAGATAGGAACTCTGCGAGTGCAAAATACGCGGAGATTGCTTTCTTATATAAAATGTCATTTATTCAAAGGATACCAATACGCGGGGAAAAAAAACAGCGCTTACGACTTCTTATTTCAAGCTCTCACGCATATTATCAGACACAATCGACATATAACAAAACGGGCGGTTTCCTTTCATTTTCTTTCACACACATACACAAACACACAATTATTACGTTTATCCCTTCATTGTTCGATTTTAATGCGAGCACACAGCCGATAATCTACCCATTAGTCTGTAGCAGCGAAAAATCCCTATATACCGAATGGATACGAACGCACATACACAACATCCTGAACACGAAGACACCACAAGTGCCCGCTATCACGTCGCTCAGCATAACACCGTACTTCTCCAGGACTCTAACTTAACTCATCATCCCATCGAAAAATATTCTCGTCCTACACTCGACCACTTACTTTCTTAAGTAATCAAATGCCGTGAGGCAATCCCCCTCTGTCCTGTCCGAGCATCACACCGACTTTCCTATCGATTGTCCGCACACTGAAAAAAATTTCTGGTTGAATATGGACGAATCAGATAATTCCTTTAGGATTTACCAGAATTCCTTTAGGATTTACCAGAATTCCTGTAATCCTACAGAAATTCTGGTAAATCCTAAAGGAATTCTGGTAAATCCTAAAGGAATTATCTGATTCGTCCATATTCAACCAGAAATTTTTTTCAGTGCACAATCTCGCCTGTACACGCACACTGACACACACAGGAATCCCGCATCTTAA